GGGGAAAACCTGGCCCTGAGCGCCGGGGCTGCGTGGAAGGGCTCTTCCTTGCTGGCTCCAGTAGTTTATTTCTGCGTGTAGCCTGCCTTGCGGCCAAGGCTTTGAGAAGGGAGGAAGCGCTTGGGTGGTGAGTGCTGCTGAGATCTCATTAGCTAATGAGGGGGTATGTTGATCTTTCAGGAACAAAAACAAACATGTTTTCAATGTTTGCCTGTCCTGTTTTGTGCACTTAGTTACCTTTGCCGTGTTGCAGCATCTGCTTAGCTCTTACTCGGCAATTTTTGGTAGCAGCTGATGTATGGGAGGAGGAACAGAAGCTGGTACTTGATCAGCAGGTATTGGAACCAGTGACACAACCCAAGAGACGTCAGCAAATGATGGCCAAGCAGCAATCACTTTGGTTTTTATGGGTTCAGTTCAGTTTTTCGCTGTGGGTTCAATATGTGCTGCACATCACATAGAGCGCTGCTGTGCAGAGAGGGCTGACTTCTCATCTCGCCCCTTCAAAAAGGATTCACTTCTGTTGACTTGTGAATTTGACTGATATTGTTTTGTCCAGAGGAATAAAAATGCAAGCCAGAAGTGCTCCCATGGTAAACTGGTTTCCTTTCGCAATTCCTCGTGACCCTTTTTACAGTAACTTGAACAACCGCTTCGAGCGGATCCGCTCTGGGACTTGGCCCTTGGGAGGTTTGGACCTTTTTTTGGCACTTGGCTTCGCCTGGAAACTCCCGTCTTCCAGGGAGGGATCTCATGTGATGACACTCCAGACTGCAACGGGGACTTGGTCAATCCCATCTCTATAAATATATTAGAAACAAACATATGCTCTCTTGGAGGGGAATGGGGGCGGGTGTCCTCTCTCCACCCCCCGTGGGCACACCGAAATTACCTCTCGTTTGAGCTCACCACCAGTGAAACTACACCTGAAGTCCTCCTCATTACGAGCGCTTCCTTGCTCTTTATTTCGTGGCTGGCTGGCTGCCAGCGCCTGGGTGTCTGTGTTGAAATGCACGTCCCCTTCTTGAGGCGCTTCGCTCTGCGTGCGGGACTCAGACACTCGTGAGAAACTGGGCTTCTCCGTCGCCTCGCCCCGCCACCCCCCCTGCGCCCAGGCCGTGGGGAAGTGGGCGCTTCCTCGCCAGTTTGTCAGCTTCTGCTTCCCTGAACGGGGCTCCGAGGTCTGCGTGCTGATCAGTGGTGAGGAGCTGTCTGGCCAAAAAGGTACAAGCTGTGGGTTGATGAACTGGAGGTTTGGATCTTGATCGGCTCAGGGGTACTGCCTTCTTGCAGGGCTTTCGTGCTGAAGATTTGTCTCCTTTTTAGCTTTTGTTCCTGTTTTGTTTCCTCCTCTTGTTGTGCCATGTCTCTCCCTGCATTCCCGCCGTGTGGTTTAGCTTGGCGGAGATGCCAGCCCCTGCTTCTAGTAAAGATAAACCTGTTGCTCGTGCTGTTTGCAGCGTGGGAGCAGGGCAGCCAGCAGGCATCTGCCCAAGCCGGGAGCCAACAAACCAACCCACCCTCCGCCGGCTGGGAGGGAGGCTGCTCTCACAGCCAGGGTTACTGAAACTCCTCGGAATGGGGATTGAGGCGAGGGCAGAGCAAGTCACGAGGTGCTTGCCCTCTTGCTCGCTCTGATCCTGTGGGAAGAGGAAGGGGAGACAGCTTTGCTGGATTCTCTGGAGAGGCTTAGGAGGGAATTCACGGTTTCCGTCCTTGTTTCCATCCTCTCTTTCCATCGCTGCCCTGTGACAGCTGCTGAACGGAAAAAGGGGGTGGCTACACCGGGCAGGAATCTCTGCCCTTCTCCCTGCAGCTCGAAGCTTGTGTGCTGTGCTCCGCTGCGTGGCTTTTTAGCCAAAGGGGAAGAGACTGAGTTATCCCTCTTGTGGCTCTGCCTGCTTGGCCGCTGGACCTGAGGGCACCGAACGGATGGAGAGGTCCTGGGGTCGAGATGGGCCCTTTGACCGTCCTCTGCCATCCCCGCAGCCATCCCCAGTGCCGTCCCCCAAAGATGCAGGGCTGTGACAGCCCTGCCCGTGGCCGTGCTGGCAGGGCAGGTCACTCCTTGCGCTCAGAGGGACAGAGTT